CTCAGGGTTCCGAGAGATGCTGCCATCCCGCTGAGGGGCTTCATGAAGGCACAGAGCTTGTTTACACTGGAGACCCGTTTTTCTCATGTTTGGCACCTAGCCTGACTTGCAGGTCTTTAATGACTCACGAGTTTCAAGTTGCTACCAAGCTAACACAGCGGCCCACACATTCACTCCCAGGAGGGTGTCTATTTCTCTCCCACTTCTCTCCCAACCCAGGCTACTATACAGGGCATTTCTGTCCAAAGACTGTTTGTCCTGCCTGGCTCTCAGTGCATGCCGGAAGGTCCTGTTAGACGAAGAGGCACAGTGGGTCCCACACATGATCTCCGTAAAATCTCTTACTCTGTGCACTGGGCTTTAGTGCCCCAGGCAGTAGGTGACAAGACCAGGCTGGCTGTCCGTCAGGATTCCTGTCCATCAGGCTTCCCTCTGGCCCTGCTGGCAGGTGTTCTTTGCAGCAGCACTCATCCTGGCAACAAAACTTATTACTTAGGGACCAGCCGAGGGGCAGCTGCGTCTTGCACGGGAGGGTCACTGTCTTGCTCCAGGGAGGAAGAGCTTGTGGCAGCACAAACACAGGGTGCCTGCTTGTTAGATGGGGGACATGTCCAGCTCAGGTGATCCATGAATTCATTTCACAAGCTCACAGCAAAGCAAGACTGTACATACAACCAAACCTGGACTGAGCGAGACCTAAGTTTAGTTCCTTAGAGGGGAAATAAAAATAAATGCTGTCCCCAAGCCTCTTCCCTGCATGGGGAAGGGAGTGGAAGCTGTGTCCCTGGGCCTCAGTGGGGAAGCTGGCCCAGACGAGAGTAGTGGCCCGCACCTGGAGGTACGCTTTGGCAAACCAAGGACTTCCTCAGCAGAGACTGTAGAAAGCAGGGCTGCCCGGTGTTCATTAACACCATGTCCGGGCTGACTTCACAGCTCAGGGCCCAGGTGTGGGGCAGTGTTCCCCAGTTGCCAGCCAGACTTCATCAAGATTTGTTTGGGGCTTGTGTTTTCCTGGTGAGCCTGTGGAGCACACAACTGGGCAGAAGTGGTGTCTAGAAGCAGGTTGTATGGGACATTTGCTATGGACCCTTGAAATTCGCTCCTCCCTGGAGCAGCCCAAGCCCCTGGGGGCTGAGACTGTCGGGAACTGAGGGATCTGTGCAGCTACTTCCTTTCCCTTGTCTGGAGAGAAAGGATGGCTTCTCCACGGGGTGGCATTGGACTTCTTGCCAGTCCTTTCTGAGTCATCCCTAGGACCTCTACACAAATATCTGCGCCCAGGACACAGCACAGGTGCTCCGGCAGTGAGCTGCCGGCAAATGATTGCACAAGAAGCATGCACCTGCGGGCGTGGCAGTGCAGCATGCCACAATGATCACATTCTTTAGGGGGTTTAGAATTGTTCAAGAAGCACAATCAGACTCAGACATAGAAATTAAGTTCGTAACAGGCAGTTACATTCAACAGGAAAGAATGCTCTGTTTCTACAGTTTCAGATGAGTCAATTATTAACATGTACAATTTAAATGTTTCCTCATTAAGACAGGAGAACAGAGTGCATAAAAAAGTATTGAAGTGAGTTAAAACCATGCAGGCATTTTGAGTATTTTATGGACCTCATAATCTGTTTTAAAACATACATTTATTTTTTTTTTACTTGAAAGAGTTACAGGGAGAGAGAAAAACACCTTGTCATATATTTTAAAACATATATTTGTTTTACTCGAGTTACACACACACACTGAGAGATAATCTTTCATTTGCTGGTTCACTCCTCAAATGACCACAGTGGCCAAAGCTGTTCCGGTTTGAAGCTGGGAGCTGGCAGTTTCTTCCGGGTCTGCCAGGTGGGTGCATGGGCCTAAGGCCATGGGCTCTCCTCCACTGCTTCCCCAGATCATCAGCAGGAAGCTGGGTTCAAAGTGAAGCAGTCGGGAAGAGCTGGCGCCCATGCGGGATGCTGCTGCTACAGATGCCATCTGAGCCTGTTGATCCTGCGCCAGCCCCCGGCCTGCCGCCTTATGAGAAAACGCAGAACAAATGTGAAAGTTCCATTGCACGAATTTACACTGAAAATTAAATTCAAATCTAGATAAAACTCAATTGTTTAGGTTTTTTTATATATAACAAAAGTTTCACTAGATTCGCTAGAACTTATGTTTGAAGAAATTTAGCCCAATGTGGTCACGACAATTATTAAATACTCCAAATAGCTTCGGCAGCACTTGTATGAGGTGACTCTTCTCAAAATTTAGAGTGAAATTGATCAAGTCTAGGGGACAGGGCTATAGAAAAGTCGGCCAGAAACTTGCATGAATAAGCAAGTTATTCTGTGAATAAAGTGTTATTCCATAAAATTATGGCACTGACAATATTTTCTGAAATTTATAAGCTTATATTGTTCCTTTGTGATTATTTCCATTACATTCTACAAATGAGAAGATGTTTGTAAAGAGGATAGTTGCCTATTTTTCAGACCTTAACAATTTTTCCCATTTTAACACCTGTCATTTGAACTAGGTGTCCTGGGTTTTTGTTTTGCGTGGGCGCTTACTTATGACCTTTTGTTTAATTGGTGGAGTGGGAGAGTGAGAGAGGTTGAAAGAGAGAGATGTAATCAATTGGCTTACTTCCCAGATGTCTGTAATAGCTAGACCCGGACCTCCATGAAGCCAGAATTCCACCTCGGTCTCCTGTGTGGGTGGGAGGGCCCAAGCGCTCGGACCCGTCATCCACTGCCTCCCTAGGTGACTCTGGGACCGTCCTCCACTGCCTCCCTAGGTGACTCTGGGACCGTCCTCCACTGCCTCCCTAGGTGACTCTGGGACCGTCATCCACTGCCTCCCTAGGTGACTAGCAGGAAGCAGAGCAGCCACGACTGGGACCATCACTGACAGGAGCCACAGGTGTTCCAAGTGGGAGCTTGAGTCTGTGCCACAACACCTGCCCTTTTTTACAAGTGAGTTCATCTAATCCTTATCAGCGAAGCCTGCCCAGAGAGGTGTTTCCTAACTTTATAAATGAAGATATCAGGCTCTAAACGATTAAAGATGTGACCAAGGTCATCTAGTGACTAAGTGGCAGGCCTGTTACTTTGAAACAAAATCAGCCTCCGTCATCACACAATCACTGATGTTCTGATAACTTCACTAAGTGAGAGTCATGCTTGGCTAAAACCCAGCCTCTCCTACCTGCCTTCCACCTCTCTTATCGCCAGAGGTCAGTGGGGAGGGAGAATGTGTACAGCCTTGGGGAAGGTGAGGAGTGACGGTGCAGACAAGGCCACCTGGTGGCAGCTGCAGCCCTGCCCACGGCACAGATCAGACGAGGGGAGTGTGTGCACCCGAGGCTTCTGGTAATAGTTATAATGAAGGCGACGATAAGTCTAACAGTTTGATCGATCCTCTTGGAGAACCATGTTTTTATTTTAAAAGCAATTTGTATGTCTATTTTCTTTTCATCCATTTTTACCCTTTTCATTTAACTTGGGTTTAGCTTCCTCTTTTTTCTAGTTTTTTTTTTTAACAATTTAAAGATTTTTAAAAATCGTACCCTGTGTAATATTTCAGACATGTATTTGTTGTGTAATCCTTAAATAGGAATAAACATATTTCTCTTGCAAACATTTACCATTTCTTGACAAGCAAAAACATATGATGTTTTCCTACAGCACTGTGTCATTTTCTGTAGCCATGTTTCTGTTCTCTTGTGATGGAACCGCAATCAGTTGTGCTGTTTTCTCTCATTTATGTTGCATGAACATTTAATGTTAGAAAAATTCTCTAAGTATTGCCTTAAAATTTTTCTGCAACTTGGCATGTTGTACTTTCATTTCTGATCAGTTAGAAATGTTTGATTTGATCTTAGCATTTCTACTTCAACACATTAGAAACAAATTCATGAATTTCCAGATTTTCAAATTTAAAAAAATTTCTGTTACTGGTAGTGCTTTTAAGATTCTGTTGTGCTTAGACACCGTATTTGCAACCCTAGTCCTGCACCAGCTGTGGCCCATGTCTGAAAACGGCCACTTCACCTCTCCCGCCGTTTCCTCCTCCAGCACTGTCAGGGGACAACTCCCACAGCAGGTAACTCTAAAGTGACACAAAGTGAGTTCCTCCAAGCTCTGGCCTTTTCTCCCCAGGGCCTGGGTTGGAGATCGGTTTTAGGGACGACCAGTCCCCGTACCCTCTGCTGCAATCATTCCATGTCCACACTGAGAACAGTCGGGCAGGAAACACGGGTCTCTCCGAGCGAAGTGTCAACAAGTGCCCGTGGAGCTCTGCAAGTCACAACAGGTGCTCACTCGCTGTGTCCCTCCACTCTGATACGGAGATGGACACCAAGCAAACTACACGGAATGGAATCCCCAGCAAGACTTTGAGTGGTCAGCTGAAGCCAGACCCTGTGGTGCGTGAGAAAGATCTTCTGTATTAACTTAGGCAATCAGCTGTTTCTATGAAGGAGGTAGAATGTGTAACAACTCCCTTGGGATGATTAGAAACCTGTGGAGGGCTGATTCCATGTCAGGTGTAAGTGATTCCATGGCAGAGCAGAGTCAGAGTGCCAGGCAAGCAAAGGGATATCCAGGGAGCAGCCAACTTGCCTGTTCCTCGGAGGAGCAGCTTTCAGGACTTGGAGAGGTGAGTTCATTGGGAGAGGATCCGGAAAACGCCGAGAGACAGAACACAGGAAGCAGAGCTTGGCAGGAGAGCAGGAATCTGATGTGCAACACTGACAACAGAGGAAGAGAACCCGATAACCACAGGTAAGCAGGCTGAGATTCCCGTGTCGGTTTCTGGGTGAATGTACTGCATTTCCACGACAGATGAGTCACTCGAGTTCATTGTCTACATGGCAACAGTCCCCACAGTGACCAGAATTGCTTCCAGCAATTTCCTTTTAAAAAACAAACTCTAATTTTATTTTACTTTTACAAACTTTAAGAAGACATTCCCCCACTTTACAGGCTTTCGTCACGTTCTGGATTTTTTTTTATTTTATTTCTTTCTTCGGCAGCACTTTCGGCCACTCAGAGAACAGCGGCCGATCTGCTCCTCCTTGGGCAGGCAGCCGAGCACAGCACATCGGCCCCTTCTTAACTTGCAGTAATATTTTTGTGCCGCACTTATGATTCCTCCATTGCCTGCGTGGAGAAAATAGAGCAATTGAGGAAGTTTCTGGAAGATGTGCTGCAGATACAAGGCTGTTGGAAACCCTCAATGAACTCGACTGGTGCCTTTCTGTCTTCATTGCTCCCTGCTCTCTCTACACAGACAGGAGTCAGCAAAGGTGAAACTGAACCTGTAGGCAACGTGTCTGTGGGCGGAAGTTCAGCTGTGGAGCAGGAGAAAGTCGGGAGACAAGTGGGGCTTCCTAGAGGGCTGTGTGAGGGCAGCTGACCGCTCGGCGGCCCAAGGGCTTTGCAACCACCAAGCTTAGCAAGATGGAAATCTGTGCTTCTGTTCCCAGACCAGATCTTTCTTCATGGATCAATTTTTCTTTTTACTACCACTTCTTCCTATGTCTGAAACAGTGTGGGAGAAGAGCACAGCTTTGTGAGCTATTTAACCCCTTCATGAGAGCGGTTCAGCGTTGAGTGGGAAGCTTGCTTTAGGCTTCTTCAGGGAAAAAAAGAAACGCCTGTTTCCAAGCAATACAACCAAATGATAGACAGTACGCTTAGTGAAATAAGCTATCCCCTAAAACAAATATATATTTACCCCGATTCGTTGTAACTAATATACAAAGTGCGAAAGAGCAATCTGTATATATGAAATCAACATTTCCAAATTTCATTATTGTTCATAGTCCTTATCCTCTGATTGTTCATTTTTTACTGAGTGCATGCTAAGCTTGTGATTGTAAATTGAAAGAATGTCATTGTAAAAATTAAAAGGAGCAAATAAAGGAAGAAGAATGGTAGGAAGCATCATTATGCTGTTAAACTGTACATATGGGCCCAGCATGGTAGCCTGGCAGTTAAAGTCCTTGTTTTGCACATGCCGGGGTCCCAGATAGGCACCGTTTGTTATCCTGGTAGCCCTGCTTCCCATCTAGTTCCCTGCTTGTGGCCTGGGAAAGCAGATGAGAACAGCTCAAAGCCTTGGGACCCTGCACCCACATGGATACCCAGAAGAAGCTCTGGGCTCCTGGCTTTTGATCGGCTCAGCTCCGGCCATTGTGGCTGCTGGGGGAATGATTCAACAGAGAGAAGATCTTCCTCTCTGTTTCTCCTCCTCTCTGTGAATCTGACTTTCCAATTAAAATAAAAATTAAAAATTAAAAAAACTAAATATATAAAATCTATTCCCCTTATACAAATAAAAAAAACCTCCCAGAAGAATGCCAAATTCCACAGACCAGTTCCCTCAGCCTCACTGCCCGTCTTACCTGGAACAGGCACCAAGAAGAGGAAGAGCAGGGCAAACAGGAGGTAATGGATCCGCATGGCCGACAGGCTCCTCAGCAAGCCGAGACTGGATCCAGAAGTGCGTGCTTACTTTATAAAGGCCCAGCCATTGGCAGAGGCAAGCGATGGCTGCAATTGTTGTGATGGTACAGCGATGACACTGACATACTTCCCCATGCATCACACCGGCGTCTGAGCACACACCCACTCACCACTCACCCAGGAGCTAATGACAAACCCCGTGAATGTAGCAAAGCCTGGTAGAGCTGTGTAGAGCTCCCGGTGTCCTCTGGGGCTTGTCCGACGCTGGCTCACGTCTGAGTGTCCATACAGACAATGCCCTTGAGGGAAACACTTGGTCCTTGAGCAGTCCCGGGACATATAATTTGGGGATAACTTGTCCAACACGGTAGGGCATTTCAATTTTCTGCCTCTTCCTCTAATACTCCCAGTGTTTTAACCCTGTACCCTAATAGCACTTCTCACCCATCCTAGAAATCAAAATTCATCCATTCCGGGACATAGTCTGAATGAGGAGACAGGACTTGTGTGTAGGTAGTGAAGGACGGTGTGAAAATGGACTACATTCTAGCATCACTGGCCCCGTGGTCTCTGAGCAGTGACCTGAGATAAGCACCTCCTGTACTTCATCTTGGCCTCATTTGTGAGTCAGGTGTCCACTCTGCTTCCTTGGAGAGAGAATGCAGGTTGACTTGACCCTCAGGGACACTCCCTTTCCTACGGAGAGTGTGTGCTAAATGAGAGGCAGTTTCAGCAAAGTCCAGGGATTCCATGATTTCTGTTGGCTACAGATTTTCACTAGGAAAACTGTATTTTAAAAACAAAAAATATTCAGGTTGTGGCAAAGTGGGGTAATCTACTGCTCACACACATCCCATATTGGAGCACCTGTTTTAAATCTCAGTTACTCCACATTTCCAAACCAGCTTCCTGCTAATGTGCCAGATAAGCATCAGACGATGGTCCAAGTCTTTGGGTAACCGTCACCCACGTGGAAGACTCCAGTTAAGTGTGGTTGTTCCTGGCTTCTGTCTGGCCTAGCCAGCCCTAACTGTTTCAAAAAAAAAAGTTGAAGAGTAAGCCAGCAGATCCAAGACCTCTTCCTTTCTCTCCCTATCTCTTCATTATGCCTTCCAATTACTTTTTTAAATTTTTAACTTATTTATATTAAGAGTGAACATTTGCATTCCATGCATAGTTTTAATAGCATAATGATACTTCCCACTCCACCGTCCTTCCTCCCTTGCTCCCACTTTCCCTTCTTTCTTTCTTCTTTAATTTTCTAGACTTCTTGTTAAAGATTTGTATTTTGTTAGCAAGTCAGATTGACAGAGAGGAGGAGAGGCAGAGAGGAAGATCTTCCATCCACTGGCTCACTCCCCAAGTGGTCACAATAGCCAGAGCTGAGCCAACCAAAGCCAGGAGCCAGGAGCCTCTTCTGGGTCTCCCACACAGGTGCAGATTCCCAAGGCTTTGGGCTGCACTCAACTGCTTTCCCAGGTCACAAGCAGGGAGCCAGGTGGGAAGCGGGGCTGCCAAAATTAGAACCGGTGCCCATATAGGGTCCTGGTGCATGCAAGGCAAGGATTTTAGCCATTAGACTACCACACTGGACCCTCTAGCTTTTAATTTTTTTAACAAGTTTATTAGCATTAGGCATAGTTAGGTCTTACTTTTAATTTTTACAGTAAGATACTTTCATTTTACTCCATAATTAAAACTAAAAATAAACCTTAAACAAAAACATAGACTTAATATTTCAAGGAATCTGATCAGTGGGTTGTGTCTGTTGATTGACTATTGAATTGCGAGTTGAGATCACCCAGGCATTGCCTGGCTATTGTAATGTGTGACTACACTTGTCAGGGGTCCACCAAGACCCTGAGTGTGCTGTTGGAGTGCATGTTCGGGCTTTTTGTGGCTGACTGGAGTCTGTGGGCACACACTGATTCTTTGTACTCAGTGTATGTGAGAAAAGAAGGGTGAGACACACAGAGGGATTGGTCCTGGTTTTCTGTCTCTCAAAAAGTATCACATTAGTCAAGTCATAATTACAGGGTGGATTCTGATAAGTGTCACAGAAGAATTGAAGTGCAGGGCTGAGCATTTATCGGCAGACGTAAGGGAGCTCTGGAATTGTAAACATCCCATCTTTTTAAAAAGATTTATTTAATTGTTATTGGAAAGGTAGATATATAAAGAGGAGAGACAGAGAGGAAGATCTTCTATCCAATGATTCACTCCCCAAGTGAGTGCAATGGCCGGTGCTGCACTGATCCAAAGTCAGGAGCCAGGAACTTCCTCCAGGTCTCCCACACAGTGCAGGGTCCCAAGGATTGGGGCCGTCCTCGACTGCTTTCCCAGGCTACAAACTGGGAGCTGGATGGGAAGTGGAGCTGCTGGGATTAGAACCGGCGCCCATATGGGATCCTGGTGTGTGCAATGCGAGGACGTTAGCCGGGCCCGACATCCCATCTTTTTAAAATCAAGCTATCTTCTTCAATTGAGAATTTGAGATATGCACAATAGCAGGTATTATTAAATACTAAAGGAGTACGTGAATACTTGGCAGTGTTGCTGTGTCTCTTAGGATGAAAGCAACACAGCTGACTGGGTTGTGGAGAGTTATACCACACTCAGCCCTTGTTCAGGGTTCAAATCCCTGGAAGAGACTGACTTTTCCACAGGGAGAACAGATAACAGGGAAGTAAATCCCAGACCAACACATTTGTTCAAACACCGGGAGGCTTTTGAGGGAATCACCACAATTTTGTAAAAGGTTCTGGAAATCAAAGTCACCTTGCCTGGCAGGATATGGTGGAAGCTGGAGCTAGGACAGTCCATCACAACACCAACTTTGTGAAGCAACTGTGTGCTTTGAGGCCATAGTGAGTAACATTTGTTTAGGATGAAATGCCAAGTGGCAGAAGGCAGAGATGGACTCAGCTTCTCCTCTGCTCCATGGAGGCACTAGAAGCCTGTATTCCTTCTTGGTTTGTTGTAACTCCAGCGTCTCAAGTTACACTGGGACTGTCAGATAGAGGAGCAGGTGAACTCACAATGTGAAGACTCACAGCACTGATAAGAGCTGTGTCTTACGCCTTCTTGCCACCGAGTTTGAATCACAGGGCTCAGAAATGCACATTGTGGAAACTATTGTACCAGATGCACTCGGAGCCCTGATAGTCAGGGTTCTTCCAATTTTCAAGTAAAGGGGAGACCACACTGTATTTATCTGTTTTGCTTAAATCAGATTTTCCTTTAACTTATTGTTTTCAAGAAATTGCTTTAAAATATGTGAATTTGATTGATATAGGTTTGGTTGAAGGCAGAGTGGGTGGTTCAAACACTAGTTTTGGAGGGAGCCGGTACAAGTTTAACTCTTAGCCTATTCTTGATTATGTGGATTTCTTGAATAAAATAGCTAAGCTTTCCCAGCATCTATACTTCCAACAATAACTCACAGAGAGCAATGCACTTCCTGTTTAGCCCAAGGCAATTGGACTGCAGCTATGTGAAAATGTATCATTTCCTTGAGCAGTGTTAACATCAAGGCCATGTAGATACCTAGCATGTGACTTCCACCAGGCAAGTCCAATGTTTCAACCCTACTCCCGTTCTCTCTCTCTCTCTCTCTCTCTCTCTCCCTCCCTCCCTCCCTCCCTCTCTCCATACTCTGGGTGGCTCAGCAACTCTCTTTTGCAGCTGTGTTAATCTCACAGCCACTGTTATTGTAAGTTACATAGGTTAAGCAGACATTGCGGGGCAGGCTTTTGCTGAAGTGGTTAGGATTCCCACAGGACACACTGGAGTGGCTGGCCTTGGATTTGGGTCTTGGTTCCCCTTCCACTTGCAGTGCTCTGAGTCACAGTAGGGTCAAGGACTTGAGTCCGAGTTCCTCACATGGGAGAGCCAGATCAAGGTCTTGAGTCCCACTGACCCATGTTGGAGACCCAGATGGCAGTACCAGATCCAGGCTTGGATTTGAACCAGCTCTGGCTGTTGTGGGCATTTTAGAAGTGAGGGTCTTCTGGATATTCCATGTGGCGCAGGGGCTCAAGTACTCGTGTCATCCTTGTTGTTTTCCCAGGGACATTGGCAGAGAGTTTGATTGGAAGTGAAGCAGCCAGGATTTGAACTGATGCTCATACTGGTGCAGGCAGTAGCTTAACCCAGGAAATCACAAAGCCGGCTCTTCTAGTTAGCTCTATTGGCCCATGTTTGCCTATCTTCCGGCATCTAACTTAGGAATGCAGCTCTGGAGGATACCATTTTCCTTTTGAGCCCAAGTCAGATACATGGACTTTATTTCACACTGGGTAACTGAGCCGTATGTTTCTACCAAACCTTCTGTGTGTGGACGAATACTTGATTTCTTCCTTGGGCAGCAGACTTTCTTTGCATTGCTGCACCTTGCAGGCAGGTATGCACGGTGTTGTTCTTTCGGCTTTCTGCAGACACCCCCAGATTCTGAACACATGATGAGTACCGCAATCCATCCACTGCACAGGGAAAGAGCAGTGAGAAGACGTCAATAGAAGGGTGACGCAAGGGAGGAGAGTTTGCACATGATGGACTCGTGGCTCAGCATGAGTCGTAGGACTCAAAATCTGGCCGATCTGGTACAACAGGCAGACAGAGACACAAGAATTCTCTGGGAACAAGAGCACCGAGGCAGGAAAGCACAGGACCAGATTAAGAAAGTGACAGTCTACTCTGATGAGATCCAGCAAACATGATTGCATCTGCTTTGGTAGTTAATTGCGGGGAGGGCTACGAATTTGTGGAAAACTAAACCTACGTCTTAAATTATCTGAAATTCCGACCTCCATGACAATTCCCTCAAGGCTAAGAAGGGCTAAGAAAATTGCGCATGTTCTTAATCCGATGTATTTTCAAAAGGAGCTTACTAGTTTTCTTGACAGTTGTAGCAGTCAGTGACTCTGAGGGCTGGGTCACCCTAGGATGGGCTGCTGATGGCCAGGGATAGTCACTGGATTTCGGGCTTCCTGCCCGTC